GCCTACAGCACCAACAACTACAGACAACGCGGCGCTCAGGTAAGGCCCACTTGCAAGCACGCGGGAGCGCGAGCGGAGTGCAAAAGAACAACAACACAACACTTGACAAAGAAAGCCGCACGAGCGGAAGCAGCCAATCACCAATCCCAGCAGCACCTTTGACAGCGGCGGCGGCAGCAGCTTCCACTCCAGTCCGAGCCCCTGCAACGCCAACAGCTCTGGCACCTGTGGTGCCTTCGAAAGCCCTGTGCCGCTGCAGACTTGGAGCACGAGCAGCTCCAGGCGGCTCCATATGACCCCTGCTTTGGCCCGCACAGACTGGCAGCACTTCTTCATCAACTCGACGGGTCCAGCGCGGGAGGCAGTTTGGCAACAGGGGCGTCACACGCGACGCCGAGCAACTCGATCAGTCTACACCAAGCGTCCCCGTGCGCAGCGATCTCCAATTGAACGAAACCCGGTGTGGTGTCGGGCAGCGGTGTTTAGCCCCAGGGCCGTGTGAGCCCTCGGTGGCCCCAACCTGCCCAAAGCAGATGCCCCCCAGCCGCTTCAGCTTCCTGAGGCTCCGCTGGGTGAGGGCACGTGGGGGCCTCTGCTTTGGCAACTGGTGCCCTCGGACGAACTCGGTGTCCCCCCTCAGGGCCACTCCCCCTTGCGTGGACCCCGATATGACAAATCTTGCTCCAGACCGACTCCAGTCCAATTTGCTAGGTGGCATCCTGTTTGGTTTTATGCGTGTGTGTGTGTGTGTGTGTGTGTGTGTGTGTGTGTGTGTGTGTGTGTCCGCGCCTGCCACTTCGTTCGACTCCACGTGACTCCTTGTGAGTTCCACCAGTGGCCTGTGCTTGCCATAACTAACCTCATGCGCACACAAGCGCCTGCGAGAAGGGCAAGCGGGTAGGCATGATGCGCGCGCTGGAGAAAATGGTTGCACCGCATGCTTGACCCACGTGCTCACGCACAGCGCCACGCATCAGCACCTGCTGCAGAAGCCGTGCCCACGACGCGGCGCCTGATTCTGTCCGGGCGCGGAAATCTGGCGCTGCTCCTGATCGCGCAGCCCCCGCATGCGAGATGGCGCTGTGGAGCGCTGCGGATGCCGAGATGCTGCGTTCCATGCCTGGTCGGCGGATCACTGGAAGGGGCGAGCTTGGCACGTGCTGCACGCGCGCAAACTTGTTGGTCGCGCGATTCTCGGCAGACGCGCTGGCTGCCGATGCCCCTCGGCGCCTCCAGCGCTCTCCCGCCCGCTGCTCCAGCTCCGCCCCGCGCCAGGTCTGTTACGCCGGTCCTCTCCTCGCGGGTCTTCGTGCCGACTTCTTCTCCTCTCTGGCCCACGTCTCTGGCCACCCGCCTCCGATTCCTGACTCCCTGCGTGGCCGACCTCCAGCATCCGATCCTCCGGTAGCCATGATGCTGATCGCAGTGCATTCGACTGGTCCAGTGTGTCGACATGTCGGCTGCTCAGCGCCACTGGATGCCAGCTTCGGAGCCCAGCTCCGTCCGTCAAGTGCGATTGGCGACGCCGTTTTCGGCCATGCGCGCTGGTCCAACGCCAGCAGTACCGATGATTTCACAGTGTCGGCCCACTCACAATGATAGGAACGCGGAACCATTGCCGGTCATGAGAAGCCCCAAAGACCGGACAGATCCTTCCGCCTATTCCTTGTTCCCAAAATATCAGCGTCCAGAATGCCCACACCGAAAAGTGCAGAGATCCATCTATACACTATGCATGTTTCAGGGGCGTCCCTTACAGCTCAAGACTCCTGATGTTGAACCAGGCTGCCTTGATCATCAGGGATCGAGGCCAAGAAAGTACCAAAACTGACTTCTTAGCCGTCGTGGGAGGCCATCTCGTTCGAGCACTGTTTCGATACTTCTCTGGGTGCTCAGGGGGTATTTTTGGGATTGGCCCTGAAGTACGACAGGATTGCCTAATCATTCGTACGGGATCCTTGGGACGATTCGCCAGACAGGGTCTACCAGGTGATATCTGGTTCAGGGATCGGGGCTCCTCCATAGCCGGGAGCTCGCAGCCCCACTTTCTTAGGTCCGTGGAGCAGCCATGCCTCCTCCCTAGCATTTTGGATGATCACGGCATCAGGGGGTATTTCAGATTCCGTGACGACATTTTGCTTCTCGGTCAAGGCCTAGCGAACAGTTTTATGATCGAATGCGGGCCAGAGCTGTCTTCTATCCTTTGACGGTAGAGTGGTCGATGTGGAGTGTTGATTTCCTAGAAGTTTCCATCCCAAAGGAGATGGGAGATTCGATGTTTCACATTTTCTTAAACCCACCGCTTTGGCACCCCCGCTGGGGACGAATAGCTCGCACCGTTTTCCGATCCATGCTTCCTGGCCGAAGGCTTACGTGAACCGAGTAAACAAGCTCTGTAGCAATCCAGACCTCTTCCAAGCTTCGTGTGCACGACGTCTTAGAGCGTCTGAAGGCAAACTTTGCAAGTAGCTTCACGCTGCAGGCGGTTAGAGCAGCCGCCCTGCAGAGCCAGAGGCGTTACGACACCAACGGTTCCAGGGTCAAGCAAAAGAGTTTTTGCTGGCTAGTGCTGGGTCACCACCCAGCGCTAGTGAGCCCAATTAAGAGGGCCCTCAAAGGCATCAACGAGGATGCCTTGCTCAACTCATGGCTTGCGGTGGCTTTCCGAGATCGGAGTGGGGATAGCCGGCAATCCATCAATGCGAGTTGGGCGAACGCAGCCCCATCTCTTTACAGATACTTGCATGGCATAGCCTATGGAGCAGTGGCTGGGGTAGGTGGTGGATAGCTGTTGCTGCGACCACAGCTTTTTAGTTCAAGACCCGCGTAGCTGAGCCAATTGTAAGGCAGACTTCTACCACGCAACCGGTAGAGCGGTACTTGAAAAAGTGTTGCCTTGATCCCCTCTCGCACACAACAGTACAGTGTTCACATGGACCATCGAGAGGGTGCGGCAAATGGCGCTGCCGACGCCTCCACGAGGGGAAGGGATGAGCGTCCCTCCTTCCGCTCGGCGCTCGACGAGATCAGCCGAGAGCGGAGCCCCCGTCGGGGTAAGGGCAGTGACCAGAGAGCTCATGACAACAAATCAACGAGCACTCCGGACATTGCAGAGCTTCGTCAACTCATGGGAGAGATGATTAAATCAAACATGCAGATGCAGAAGACCATATTGGAGAATATTGGGCAGCTGACCCAGGCTATGCATGCCACGATGCAGCAAGCAGGGTCGGCAGCTGCATCCGCAGCTGCGGAGGCAGAGCGTGCCGCCGCCAACGCAGCAGCAGTGGCAGCCACTACAGCAGCGGCCGTCGCCACAGTAGCCAGCACTGGTGGCGCCCCTGCGCCCGCCGCGGCAAGCAGTAACACGGGCAAGATCCCAAAGGACCTCCAGGGAGCCCTCGAAAAGTTGCGGTCCACCTTCGAGGGCGACCTGCGGAAGTGGATTAACGCCAAGAAGAGGGCTGAGCGAATCGAGCGCGACGTCAAGATCTTCTCCGAAGGGCCAGGGCGATACCCACCTGGCACCAGGCCGTTCCGATCCTCATCGACGTTATCGGAGCTGGATGAGAAGTGGGAGAAGAGCACCACTGGCGAGCACAGCATCACCATCACCATTCCCAAGGAGTCCACTCACAGGGAGGCGATGGCACACATGCACTGGGAGGCAGCACGGATCCACAAGGACATCGAGTTCGCTTCAGCCCAACACAAGATGGGGACCACGAGGGCGGCTGCGCAAAGGCATACTTTTGCAGAAGCGGTCTCCGCGCTGGTCCGGGAGGCGAAGGACAAGGACCGCGCGGCGGCCCTCGGCCTCAACGAACCCTTGTACGAGACGATCCCCGAGGACGCCGTGCAGGAGAAGGCCGAAGCACTCTACCAAGCTGCAGTGGACAAAATCTCCAAAGAGGTCACCCAGAAGGAGGAAGAAGAACGGAAGAAGCATGACAAAGAAAAGGAACAAGAACGTGAACTCTTGGCAAAGGACCCGGCAAACCTCCTCGAACTTGTCATCGACGCTCGCATCGACGACAAGCTGAAGCATGAGCCCGAGGAGGCCTCCGACAGGATGGAGGACGACCATCAACCAGAGCTGCACCCTGCCGCCTCAAAGTTCTGCGAAACGGTAATGACAAAAAACGGGGCCGCCCCGGCTGGCAAGCCGGGGGGGGCACAACACATCGGCAACGGCAAGGGCAAGTACAACGCCAAGTACAACACCAGCACGAACAACACGTTTACTGGCTATCCCAAGAAAGACGACAGGCGCAAGGGCAAGACCAACGCGTCTCCCAAAGGAGCTGGTGCTGGAAAGGGGAAGAACACAGCCAAGGGCGAAGAGTCACGAAATTGGAAGACCAAAGGGTTCCCCAAGGGACGCGGCAAAGGAAAAGGGAAGGACACGGCCAAGGGCGACAACACAAGAAAAGGCTTAGGCAAAAAACGTGGCGGCAAAGGCAAAAAGAAATGAAGCAGTCTGCAGCGCCAGTGCGCTGGATGACCAGGCTCACGGAGGGCCTGGACCTTGGAGACCTGCTCACAATCCTCAACTGGAAGGAAAATCAGCACCGCGTCAAAAGATACGATCCCCTTACGAAGTCTATGGTTGATGACAGTGCGATCCCATGGCCCATCAAATGGTTGATTTTGCGCCGACACAGGAAGCACATTTTCCAATCACGTGGGTTGCCATCGATGGAACGCGTCCGTTTGAAAGTCACTGATTTCGCGAATAGGATCAAATGGCGGTGGTATTACCAGCAGTACCCTCCAGAGGCTGTTGATTTCACTCTACCTCGCTCTTCTCGAGTCGCCCCGTTTTGCCCAGAGCACAGCATAGGCACGAACTATGAGTGGAGGATGTTGGATCGGTGGCTTACTTCTGTGAAAAAGAGGCTTCTCGATGCCGTTCGGAAGAGCCGGTCAGCACATAGGTTTGGTGATCGAAGTTATTCCAATTCTACGGCGCTCGAAAGGCTTGCCTTGAGGACCCTCAGGAGTAGCGAGTATGTTTGCCTTCCGAACGACAAGAACAGCAGGTATTCTCTGGTTCGCAAGTCCGACCTCCCAGGGATGTCGGCCAGGATACTTGACTCTAACATGTGCATATGCATCAGCCCGCGTGGCCTCCTGAATAGCACCATAGAGACATATAAGAACTTGTGTTCCGAGGTTGCCGACGTCATCGGGCAGCCGCACGCTGGCAGACGGATGTTCAGGACCGTTTTCTTCTCGAACGCAACGTTCTTCAGCCGTCTGCAGCTCACCGTGAAGGACCACAAATCAGAAGGGGAAGTATCGTGCCGACCAGTGCACGCGACGCCCACGTACATTTTCAGCGGGCTCAGCGCGTGGGTCGTCTCAGTTCTTCGGGACAAGCTCGACGAGCGTGCGCCCCATCTCCTCCGTGATTCTTCTGATCTGATCCGCAGGCTGCAAAATTTGCACCCTGACCGCGCGTGGCACTTTTGCAAGGTTGATGTGACAGATTTTTACCTTAACGGTACGGAAGACCAGATCGTGTCGTGCGTCATGTCCTTGTTCGATGTCCGCGACACCATCTACAGTACCCTTGAGAAGGTCATTCGTTTTCTATTGCGGTGCCAATTCGTACGGGATCCTTGGGACGATTCGCCAGACAGGGTCTACCAGGTGATATCTGGTTCAGGGATGGGGCTCCTCCATAGCGGGGAGCTCGCAGACTGCACTTTCTTAGGTCTCGTGGAGCAGCACCTCCTCCTCCCTAGCATTTTGGATGATCACGGCATCAAGGGGTATTTCAGATTCCGTGACGACATGTTGCTTCTCGGTCAAGGCCTAGCGTCCAGGACCAAACAGTTTTATGATCGAATGCGACATTTTGCTTCTCGGTCAAGGCCTAGCGTCCAGGACCAAACAGTTTTATGATCGAATGCGGGCCAGAGCTGTCTTCTATCCTTTGACGGTAGAGTGGTCGATGTGGAGTGTTGATTTCCTAGAAGTTTCCATCCACAAAGGAGATGGGAGATTCGATGTTTCACATTTTCTTAAACCCACCGCTTTGGCACCCCCGCTGGGGACGAATAGCTCGCACCGTTTTCCGATCCATGCTTCCTGGCCGAAGGCTTACGTGAACCGAGTAAACAAGCTCTGTAGCAATCCAGACCTCTTCCAAGCTTCTGTGCACGACGTCTTAGAGCGTCTGAAGGCAAACTTTGCAAGTAGCTTCACGCTGCAGGCGGTTAGAGCAGCCGCCCTGCAGAGCCAGAGGCGTTACGACACCAACGGTTCCAGGGTCAAGCAAAAGAGTTTTTGCTGGCTAGTGCTGGGTCACCACCCAGCGCTAGTGAGCCCAATTAAGAGGGCCCTCAAAGGCATCAACGAGGATGCCTTGCTCAACTCATGGCTTGCGGTGGCTTTCCGAGATCGGAGTGGGGATAGCCGGCAATCCATCAATGCGAGTTGGGCGAACGCAGCCCCATCTCTTTACAGATACTTGCATGGCATAGCCTATGGAGCAGTGGCTGGGGTAGGTGGTGGATAGCTGTTGCTGCGACCACAGCTTTTTAGTTCAAGACCCGCGTAGCTGAGCCAATTGTAAGGCAGACTTCTACCGCGCAACCGGTAGAGCGGTACTTGAAAAAGTGTTGCCTTGATCCCCTCTCGCACACAACAGTACAGTGTTCACATGGACCATCGAGAGGGTGCGGCAAATGGCGCTGCCGACGCCTCCACGAGGGGAAGGGATGAGCGTCCCTCCTTCCGCTCGGCGCTCGACGAGATCAGCCGAGAGCGGAGCCCCCGTCGGGGTAAGGGCAGTGACCAGAGAGCTCATGACAACAAATCAACGAGCACTCCGGACATTGCAGAGCTTCGTCAACTCATGGGAGAGATGATTAAATCAAACATGCAGATGCAGAAGACCATATTGGAGAATATTGGGCAGCTGACCCAGGCTATGCATGCCACGATGCAGCAAGCAGGGTCGGCAGCTGCATCCGCAGCTGCGGAGGCAGAGCGTGCCGCCGCCAACGCAGCAGCAGTGGCAGCCACTACAGCAGCGGCCGTCGCCACAGTAGCCAGCACTGGTGGCGCCCCTGCGCCCGCCGCGGCAAGCAGTAACACGGGCAAGATCCCAAAGGACCTCCAGGGAGCCCTCGAAAAGTTGCGGTCCACCTTCGAGGGCGACCTGCGGAAGTGGATTAACGCCAAGAAGAGGGCTGAGCGAATCGAGCGCGACGTCAAGATCTTCTCCGAAGGGCCAGGGCGATACCCACCTGGCACCAGGCCGTTCCGATCCTCATCGACGTTATCGGAGCTGGATGAGAAGTGGGAGAAGAGCACCACTGGCGAGCACAGCATCACCATCACCATTCCCAAGGAGTCCACTCACAGGGAGGCGATGGCACACATGCACTGGGAGGCAGCACGGATCCACAAGGACATCGAGTTCGCTTCAGCCCAACACAAGATGGGGACCACGAGGGCGGCTGCGCAAAGGCATACTTTTGCAGAAGCGGTCTCCGCGCTGGTCCGGGAGGCGAAGGACAAGGACCGCGCGGCGGCCCTCGGCCTCAACGAACCCTTGTACGAGACGATCCCCGAGGACGCCGTGCAGGAGAAGGCCGAAGCACTCTACCAAGCTGCAGTGGACAAAATCTCCAAAGAGGTCACCCAGAAGGAGGAAGAAGAACGGAAGAAGCATGACAAAGAAAAGGAACAAGAACGTGAACTCTTGGCAAAGGACCCGCAAACCTCCTCGAACTTGTCATCGACGCTCGCATCGACGACAAGCTGAAGCATGAGCCCGAGGAGGCCTCCGACAGGATGGAGGACGACCATCAGCCAGAGCTGCACCCTGCCGCCTCAAAGTTCTGCGAAACGGTAATGACAAAAAACGGGGCCGCCCCGGCTGGCAAGCCGGGGGGGGCACAACACATCGGCAACGGCAAGGGCAAGTACAACGCCAAGTACAACACCAGCACGAACAACACGTTTACTGGCTATCCCAAGAAAGACGACAGGCGCAAGGGCAAGACCAACGCGTCTCCCAAAGGAGCTGGTGCTGGAAAGGGGAAGAACACAGCCAAGGGCGAAGAGTCACGAAATTGGAAGACCAAAGGGTTCCCCAAGGGACGCGGCAAAGGAAAAGGGAAGGACACGGCCAAGGGCGACAACACAAGAAAAGGCTTAGGCAAAAAACGTGGCGGCAAAGGCAAAAAGAAATGAAGCAGTCTGCAGCGCCAGTGCGCTGGATGACCAGGCTCACGGAGGGCCTGGACTTTGGAGACCTGCTCACAATCCTCAACTGGAAGGAAAATCAGCACCGCGTCAAAAGATACGATCCCCTTACGAAGTCTATGGTTGATGACAGTGCGATCCCATGGCCCATTAAATGGTTGATTTTGCGCCGACACAGGAAGCACATTTTCCAATCACGTGGGTTGCCATCGATGGAACGCGTCCGTTTGAAAGTCACTGATTTCGCGAATAGGATCAAATGGCGGTGGTATTACCAGCAGTACCCTCCAGAGGCTGTTGATTTCACTCTACCTCGCTCTTCTCGAGTCGCCCCGTTTTGCCCAGAGCACAGCATAGGCACGAACTATGAGTGGAGGATGTTGGATCGGTGGCTTACTTCTGTGAAAAAGAGGCTTCTCGATGCCGTTCGGAAGAGCCGGTCAGCGCATAGGTTTGGTGATCGAAGTTATTCCAATTCTACGGCGCTCGAAAGGCTTGCCTTGAGGACCCTCAGGAGTAGCGAGTATGTTTGCCTTCCGAACGACAAGAACAGCAGGTATTCTCTGGTTCGCAAGTCCGACCTCCCAGGGATGTCGGCCAGGATACTTGACTCTAACATGTACATATGCATCAGCCCGCGTGGCCTCCTGAATAGCACCATAGAGACATATAAGAACTTGTGTTCCGAGGTTGCCGACGTCATCGGGCAGCCGCACGCTGGCAGACGGATGTTCAGGACCGTTTTCTTCTCGAACGCAACGTTCTTCAGCCGTCTGCAGCTCACCGTGAAGGACCACAAATCAGAAGGGGAAGTATCGTGCCGACCAGTGCACGCGACGCCCACGTACATTTTCAGCGGGCTCAGCGCGTGGGTCGTCTCAGTTCTTCGGGACAAGCTCGACGAGCGTGCGCCCCATCTCCTCCGTGATTCTTCTGATCTGATCCGCAGGCTGCAAAATTTGCACCCTGACCGCACGTGGCACTTTTGCAAGGTTGATGTGAAAGATTTTTACCTTAACGGTACGGAAGACCAGATCGTGTCGTGCGTCATGTCCTTGTTCGATGTCCGCGACACCATCTACAGTACCCTTGAGAAGGTCATTCGTTTTCTATTGCGGTGCCAATTCGTACGGGATCCTTGGGACGATTCGCCAGACAGGGTCTACCAGGTGATATCTGGTTCAGGGATGGGGCTCCTCCATAGCGGGGAGCTCGCAGACTGCACTTTCTTAGGTCTCGTGGAGCAGCACCTCCTCCTCCCTAGCATTTTGGATGATCACGGCATCAGGGGGTATTTCAGATTCCGTGACGACATTTTGCTTCTCGGTCAAGGCCTAGCGTCCAGGGCCAAACAGTTTTATGATCGAATGCGGGCCAGAGCTGTCTTCTATCCTTTGACGGTAGAGTGGTCGATGTGGAGTGTTGATTTCCTAGAAGTTTCCATCCACAAAGGAGATGGGAGATTCGATGTTTCACATTTTCTTAAACCCACCGCTTCGGCACCCCCGCTGGGGACGAATAGCTCGCACCGTTTTCCGATCCATGCTTCCTGGCCGAAGGCTTACGTGAACCGAGTAAACAAGCTCTGTAGCAATCCAGACCTCTTCCAAGCTTCTGTGCACGACGTCTTAGAGCGTCTGAAGGCAAACTTTGCAAGTAGCTTCACGCTGCAGGCGGTTAGAGCAGCCGCCCTGCAGAGCCAGAGGCGTTACGACACCAACGGTTCCAGGGTCAAGCAAAAGAGTTTTTGCTGGCTAGTGCTGGGTCACCACCCAGCGCTAGTGAGCCCAATTAAGAGGGCCCTCAAAGGCATCAACGAGGATGCCTTGCTCAACTCATGGCTTGCGGTGGCTTTCCGAGATCGGAGTGGGGATAGCCGGCAATCCATCAATGCGAGTTGGGCGAACGCAGCCCCATCTCTTTACAGATACTTGCATGGCATAGCCTATGGAGCAGTGGCTGGGGTAGGTGGTGGATAGCTGTTGCTGCGACCACAGCTTTTTAGTTCAAGACCCGCGTAGCTGAGCCAATTGTAAGGCAGACTTCTACCACGCAACCGGTAGAGCGGTACTTGAAAAAGTGTTGCCTTGATCCCCTCTCGCACACAACAGTACCGATGCAAGAAATCCACGCGGACCTCCAACAGTTCATGTTGACGCGTTTTGTTCTTTGTGTATAGGAGGTGGGGCGCGCGAGGCTGCGGCCCAACGTGGTCACCTACAATGCCGCCATGCTGGCCTGCTGCGCGGGCCGCCAGGTGGCGCGGGCGCTCGACCTCCTGGACGTCATTTGGAAGACCAGAAGGCGGCTCCTCCGCCGACTTTCGGAGGTCCGCGCGGGCCTCTCGGGTCGGCGCCGGTCTCTCAAAGACAACCCCACGCCCCAGGGTCTACCTCGATCTGCTCGATCCGATTTGATTCAAGAGGGAAAGAAACACACAGACACAATTAATCGTCGATTCCCCCAAAAATAGGGGGAAAAATGGGAAGTGGTGGGGAAGATAGAATCCCCGAAACTATAAGAAAATATGGGGAATCCTTTTATTTGTGTGTATTTATTTGTGTGTCCTGGGGCCCCTTCATTGATGCCGTTTCTGGCTGGCTCGATCCGATGAGGCTCCGATCTTCCGACGGTCCGAGACTGGACCCTGCGCCCCGGCTAGGGGACGTGGGCAGGGGGCCCCAGCGCCGACCGCGAGGGACCTGCGCAGGCCCCCCCAAGGCTGACGCGGGGTGCCCCTGTCTGGCCCTTCCAGACGTGGTCGACCGCCGCGTCGCGCCCGACGCCCAGGCTTGCGGGAGGCTCCTCATGGAGTGCGAGCAGGCAGCCCGGCCACAACTGGGGGAGAGCGGTGGTCCTGGGCCCCCTCCGGGGGGGGGGCCATCATGCGTCGCCCCCCCGCCCCCCGAGAGCTCGTCGGCACGAGGGGCCCCGCCCTGGGGAGGGCTCTGGAGCGCGGCCTCCCTCCGGTTGTGGCCCCCGCCGGGGCAGGGCGGCCGCCCCGCGCGCGAGCGGCGGCTCCTCCGCTCGCTGGTGGCCGCCGCCGGCCCGGGCGGCGCCCGCGAGCTGGGCGCGGCGGCCGGCGGCGCCGTGGCGGTGCGCCTGCTGGTGAGCGGCTGGCCGCGCGGGGCCGCGGCCGAGCTGGGCCCCGGCCGCGGCGGGGGCGGCGGCCCGGTGGGAGCGCTGGTCGAGCGCCTGCGTGCCGCGGCCGCTGCCCAGGGGGCGTGCCGCGGCCGCGGCCGGCGCCGGTGGCGGAGGGGAGCACCCCGAGGTCCTCCCGCCGCGAGCATGTCGCGACGAAAGGCCTTCTGGGCGGTTGGCGGCCCCAGAGGGCCCGCCCCGAGGGCGGCGGAGGGGGGGTGGGGGAGGCGGGGAGCCGGGGGGGGGCCAGCAGGCTGGGAGTGGCATCGTACGCAGAGCCGACGTGGTCTTGCCCCCCTGCCCTTGTGCCTGCGTCCATACCTGTGTCTGCCGACACGCCGTGGTAGACTTGTGTTTCCCAACCATCCTGTGGTGGTGCGTCCTCGTTTTGAAGAGGGCGCCCTGCGACTCCTTCTTCCTTCCTCCTCCCCCTCCTCCCTCCTCCCCCTCCTTGCCTCTGCCCTCCGCATGTCAACCATATTGGCACACCCCTCACACGCTTCGTGGCCCCATAGGGAGCTCCACCGAAGGCTACAGTGGCAAAGTTCGCATGCGGTCCCATGTCCATTTTGGCACATTCCTCACACGTTCCGTTGCCCCATCGGGAGCTCCACCGAAGGCCCCAGTGGCAAAGTTCGCATGCGGTTCCACGTCCATTTTGGCACACCCCTCACACGTTTCGTGGCCCCATAAGGAGCTCCACCGAAGGCCCCAGTGGCAGCAAACCTTCGCATGCGGTTCCAGCCCCATTTTGGTACACTCCTCACACGGTTCGTGGTCCCAAGGGGAGCTCCACTGAAGGCGCCAGTGGCAAAGTCCGCATGCGGTTCCACGTCTATTTTGGCACACCCCTCACACGTTTCGTGGCCCCATAAGGAGTTCCACCGAAGGCTACAGTGGCAAAGTTCGCATGCGGTTCCACGTCCATGTTGGCACACCCCTCACACGGTTCGTGGCCCCATAGGGAGCTCCACCGAAGGCCCCAGTGGCAAAGTTCGCATGCGGTTCCACCCCCATTTTCGGCGCACCCCTCATACGGTTCGTGGCCCCATTGGGAGCTGGACCGAAGGCGATATTCACAATTGCGGCACCCACAATTGCATATGGTTGGGTCCTTCGCCAGGCATGATTTTGTTTTCCTCTTCATGCATCTGCCCTCTCTAGTGAATCGTGTCGCCTGCTTTTCCCTCATACCCTGCTTCACCCTGGTCTCCCTATGTCGTCCTGCTTCTTCATGTACCCTCTCCAGTGAATCGCGCTGCATTGTTGTCGGCTGCTTCACTCTCTCTCCCCTTCTTCCCCCATCTCTAATTCTGGCATTTTGCTTCGTGGTGTGTGCAACATGCTGCTTGTGTGGTGCAAGAGGCTATCCCCTTCGCCAGGAGGCGGTGCGAAGCTTGTTCGATGCATTTAGCGAGCCCCGCCATCGGCTCGATCGGCATCTTCCCGATCGATTCATTGGGCTTACGCCACACCGCCGACCGCTTGGGGCGGCAGCAATCGTCCCCCGCGTGGCCTGTCTGGACAGCCTGTGAGGCCCCTCTAGACACGTTTTGGAGCCCTTTCAGGACCGTCCTGCCGATCCCCCGGGCCGTTGCTATGGTTTCTGGGACCTTCGTGGGGCGCCCGGAGGCCGTCGTGGAGCCTTTTGTTGAGTCTCTAGGGCTCGATCGGCATCTCCCCGATCGGTTTGGTGCGGCTCTGCCTGTGCAGTTCTCGTTCGACGTCTTGCTAAAGTCTGTTCTTCATGCGTCGTGTCGTGCCATATCTTCCACTCTCCACGTCTTCGATCTCGTCTCTCTTGTCCTCGCTGTTGTTTCTGCACCTCGTCCTGATCCATCGGCTCCTCCTCCTCTTCCTCCTCGTCTTCCTCCTCCCTCTCTTCCTCCTCACCCCCCGTGCCGATGACCCCCACTGTCCTTGTCCGCGCTCTGGTGAGGGACGCACGTGCAGTCTCGAAAGGTGCGTGCAGGCACCCGATGAGCATCCAAACTAGGCGGACTTAGGCGAAGGTCGGGGCGGCCATTCCTTCTCGTCATCCCGCAGATGGACGAAAAAAGTGGAACCCTTGACACCACGCTTCCCTCCCAATTTCAAACGTTGGCCTCTGGCATTCGGCAGCACAGGCGTGAGAGGACCACAAAAAGTGGAGCCCCCAGGGTCTCCGGCAGGCCGAAGCCAGCTTTGCAATTGGGGAGATGGGGGGAGGGGCGAACGCAGGGTCGAAGACGAATTGGGTTCCACTTTTTTGTCCCCTAACCGTCCCTCCTCCCCCCTCCCGACAATCGATGGCTCAGTCTGGGCGGCCGGAAGCGCCGCGCTACAGATGACGGGCCAGGAGACGGTCTCTCCTTTCCGCTGTCCCGTGCCAGACTAACTAGTCGAATGAGGAGGAGGAGGAGGAGGCAGAGGATGATGATGATGATGATGATGATGATGATGATGATGATGATGATGATGATGATGATGATGATGATGATGATGATGATGATGACTGATGATGATGATGATGATGATGATGATGATGATGATGATGATGATGATGATGATGATGATGATGATGATGATGATGATGATGATGATGATGATGATGATGCTGATGATGATGTGGTGGATGCGGATGCGGATGCAGAAGGAGAGTGGCATGGGCGGAAGAGGGAACATAATGGAGGAGGATGGATGAGGGAAGCATGACAGAAGAGGAAAGATGAAACAAGATACATAACATAAAAGGGGATGGAGGGGGGAGGATGGATGAGGCGGCAGGAATGGGAGGAAGACGGGAGGAGTGATCAGGGGGGAGGAGGATGGAGGAGGTATTAGGGAGGAGGGATACGAAAGAAGCATGAGGCGCGATGGAGGAGGGAGATTAGAGGCTGGGATTTTGATCTGGTACGGGAGGAATCAACATACGTGATGATTCTTGTCGTGGGTGTTGAGCAGGTGTTTCAACCCGACAGCTGACATCGTGCCAGCCCCCCTCCGTAGTAGAACACTAGGGCGCGGCGTCAATGTGGACGTCACAACATCGCCCCAACCCCGAAACAGAACTCGTGACGATCCCACTCTTTCATAGAAAACGAGACAGGCGTTCGAAAGCACAGCTTCACCCACTCCAGCCCACTTCAGCCCAGCGTGGGTTTCCTCGTCAGGTCGTCGCAGAAGTCGATGCTGCGACGGGGTGCTTCGGAGTGGCAGCATGGTGCGCTCTCTTTCCCTCAGGGGGTAGCAGTGGCGGGGAAGAGTGCGCTGCTCCGTGTGCGCCAGGGCCTGGCTTTGCCTCGAGTCGTGCTTCGTACGCCTGGCCCCCTCCTTCTCGTCTCCTCCTCGCCGCCGTCCTGCTGAACACCCTCCTTCTGCTGCTCTTCCGCTGAATACCCTCGCCGCTCTCTTGCCGAATACCCTCGCCAGGGCCCACATCCGGGCCCCATCTTCGGCCCCGAAGCCCCGCGCTGGATGGCCCGGCGACCCGCACGCGCCGAGTGCCCGGTTCGTCTCGAGCCACTGTAAGGCCGTCGTTGTTTCTCCTGTTTCCCCCCCCTTCCACGTCCTCGTTTTCTTCCCGTTCCGCTTCGTCTTCTTCTTCTTCTTCTTCCTCTTCCTCTTCCTCTTCCTCTTCCTCTTCCTCTTCTCCTCCTCCTCTCTTCCTCCTCTTCCTTCCACTGCTCAGCGAGGCAGCAGGACGTAGGGATGTGGGGAGGGAGGGTTCCAGGTTCTCTGCCGCTCCTCCCGAGGCTTCTCCCGGGACTCCCGGGCCGCGTGCTGACCAGGCTTCCGAGGCGAGTGCATCCGTGGCGACGAGGACCCAGCGGCCCGAAGGCGAAACCGAAGGAATGGCATCTGCATAGGCGCGAGGACGTCTTGGTCTGGGGAAGAGGGTGCTCCAGATTTCGTAATAAAGGGAGGGGGGTCTCATTTCGGGGGGGGTCTCTTCCAGGCTATCTTGGAGGGCCTGGGGGGGTCTGGGGACGATGTTTTGGAGGGTTATCCCACGGGGGGGGGTCAAAAACTTTTCGTCTGGGAGGGTTGAGACCCCCTCCCTTTTATTACGAAATCTGGAGTGCCCTGGACCGTCTCCCTCGAGGCTTTTTTTTGGGTGGCGTCGGCACCCAGGGCTTCAGACCACTTCGCCAGGGCCAGGGTTGCTTCCTCTCTATATGGCTCTCTGACGCTCCCGGAGCCGGGGCACGGCACCCAGAGGCCCGAAGGCTCCGCCGCCGGGCGCTGTCCTCGATGCGCTGGCGCCTCCGGCGCCGCGGGGCGCCAGGAAGACCAGCTGCGTGAGCCGACTTGCTGCCCCCCGCCCTCTCTGAGCCACCCCCGCAGGAGGCCAAGAGGCCCCGCGAGGAGGGCGGTGATGGAGGCGCGGCGCCGGCGAAGCAGCCGAGGTCGGAGGCGGGCGCCGCCGTGCCTGGAGGGGCGGCCCGAGGCGGCGGCTCCGAGCCCAGGCGCGGCACCTCCGTGGAGTCGGGGTCGGCGGGGCGGAGGGTCGAACGGCGTCAGGCCAGTCCTGGCCCCAGGACTGGTGCATGTACCTTCCTCGCCAGGCCAGCGCCGATCCTACAGTGGAGGCCCATGCCAAGAAGCAGCCCGCTTGCCTCCAGGGTGCCGTGGGTCTCCTGGGCCCCGATGGTCCTGCCGCGGAGAGCGCGACGTTCCCACGCCGAAAGCCCATGGACCTTCTGGGGTCTCAGGGTCGGGTTCCTTGTGGAAGGTTTCTCGTGGTCGGGCCTCCACTGTTACTCCTCTCCGGTGGCACCCGCCGCACGCCGACACGGATCCGCGAGCCCGGCCAGGTCCGTCCTGGGACCAGGAGCGAGGGTCCCCGGCCTCCGAGAGGCGGCTCCTCGAAGTCCCGGCGCCTCTCTCCTCCAGCCTCGGCCTCTGGGGGCCACCCTGCGGTCTCCCCGGGGCCAGCGAGCTCGGGGCTTGCTGGGGGTGCCCCTGGCCCAAGGTGCCTCCGGCTTTTCGCTCCACTCTGGAGCCCCTGGGGCCCCCCTTGGGGCCTCGTGAGGGGTGCTCTGGAGGCCGTGGGGGCCTCTCTGGAAATCCAGGGGGGCACCTGGGGCACCTCTGGACACCCGGAAATCCTGGCACCTGGGGGCACCTGGGCACTTGGAAATCCCGGGGGCACCTGGAAATCCTGGGGGCACCTTGGGCACCTGGGGTCTTCTTTTGAAATCCTGGGGGCACTTCTGGTAACACCCCACAAGAAGGGATCTCCAGGACGGAAATCCGCCCGTCGGGTAAGAGGCCGGCAGTTCTGGGGCCGCAGATGGAGCCGACCTCGTCGGATGCCGGAAGGGTCGAGGCTCGAGGGCGCAGGAGGGAGGGCGGGGGATGGCGATTGACGACTTGTTGCCCGAGCAGTGCTTGTACTTGGGAAGTCGGATGGGCCCGCCGAGGGATCGCCGTGGGCGCCTCGTGGGCGCCTCGTGGGCGTCCCGCGCCAGTGGGTGGGTCCGCCGAGGTTCGGCCACGCTGCTGCCCGTGAGCGCCTCGTGGGCGCACTGTGCGCTGGGTCGGTCCGCTGAGGGCTTGCCACGTTGTTACCCGCGGGCCCCTCGTGGACGCACCGTGCGTTCACTACATACCTCACACCATACAGACTGCAGCACATGGCCTACATTTCGCAGCCAAACCACGTAGAATGTACCACATAGCTTACAACGCATAACTCAAACATCAAAGCTCACACCACACATATTGCACCACGTGCCTTGCACCATACATCTGCACAACTTAGACTGCGCCACACAACTTACACCAGATAGCTTGTACCAGACATACAGCACAACATAGCTTACACCGCATAGCTCATACCACATACATTGCGCCACGTATATCGCGCCACACAGCTTACACCTCACAGCTCACTCCACATAGATCTCACCTTCTGGATCGCACTACATGGTTATCACGTCCACAGTGCAGCTTATCACTGTTGAGAGTCCGCGCTGGCCCATGGTTTTTCTGGGAACCTCCTGTTCTTTCTCGTCGGCTTCTTCCGGTGCGCTCTTAATTGTGGCTGGCGAACCAAAGCGTCCGACGGGAGCAGTACCGCAGTACCAAGGGCCTTTGGAGGAATGCCAGCCACCGACGAAAAGTGGCAAGTGGGCGATTCTATATTTCTTGCATGGCAAGCCAGTGCCCAAGTAGGGGCCCAGAGGAGGTCCTGAGATGGCGCCCACGTCTTGTGTAGGCGTCCTTAGAGATCCCCGTCGCCGAATTCTCCGAATTCGACGTACTCTTCCACTTCCTCTTTCTCGTGAACGTCTACCCCCTCTACCTCCTCCTCCTCACTCACTCTCCACCTCCGTCATTCTCGTGCTCCTCCTCCTCCTTCTCCTTGTCGTTGTCCTCCTCGGGGGTAGGGGGAAAGCATAGGGCAGGGGGGAGGCGATGGGCAAGGGGGGAGGGGGAGGCGCAGGGGTAGCGGGAGGAGAGAAGAATAAGGAGGACGTGGAGGACGTGGAGAAGGAGGAGGAGGAGGAGGAGGAGGAGGAGGAGGAGGAGGAGGAGGAGGAGGAGGAGGAGAGGGAGGGAGGGAGGGAGGAGGAGGAGGAGGAGGAGGAGGAGGAGGAGGAGGAGGAGGAGGAAGAGCAGTTGCAGTGGAGCGGGAGCAGAGGATTTGGAGGGGAAGGGGGAGTCTGATGTTGTTGCTGATGATGATGGTGATAATGATGACGCTGATGAGATGGATAGTATGATGATGATGCTGATGATAATGATGACGACGATGATGACGATGATGATGATGATGACGCTGATCATGATCATGTCGATGCTGATGATGATGATGATGGTGCTTATGATGATGCTGATGATGCTGATGTTGATGATGCTGCTGATGATGTTGATGATGCTGATGATGCTGCTGCTGATTCTGATGCTGGTGCTGATGCTGATGCTGAAGCTGAGGATAAGGACTAGGATGGGATGGTGTTGATGATGATGATGGTGTTGATGATGCTGCTGATGTTGCTGATGCTGATGCTGCTGCTGATTCTGATGCTCGTGCTGATTCTAATGAAGATGAACATGACAATGCATATGATGCTGATGATGATGCTGCTGATGATGGTTACGGCGATGATGATTATATTGATGATGGTGATGATGATGATGAAGATGCTGACGATGATGATGATGGTGATGGTGATGATGATGATGATGATGATGATGATGATGATGATGATGGTTGTGCTGATGATGATGGTGCTGCTGATGATGCTGCTGGTGCAAACGGCTGATGATGATGCTGATGATGACGATGATGCTGCTTATGATGATGCTGACAATGATGCTGATGTTGATTGTGATGATGCCGACGACGTGTATTATACTGTTGTTGATGCTGCTGCTGCTGCTGATGATAGTGATAATGATGATTCTGCTGATGCTGGTGCTGACGACGATGATGATGATGCTGATGATTAGGATGATGCTGCTGATGATGCTCATGATGATATTGATGATGATGAGGATGATGAAGATGATGATGATGATGATGCTGATGCTGGTGATACTGCTGATGCAGCTGCTGATGATGATTTTGATGATGATGATGATGATGACGATGATGATGATGATGATGATGATGATGATGATGATGATGATGATGATGATCAGGAGGAGGAGGAGGAGGAGGAGGAGGAGGAGGAGGATGAGGCTGTTGATGCTGATGATGATGATGGTGCTGATGATGCTGCTGCCGCTGATGATAATGATGATGATGATGATGATGATGATGATGATGATGATGATGATGATGATGATGATGATGATGATGATGATGATGATGATGATGGTGGTGGTGATGATGCTGCTGCTTGCTGCTTGCGTGATGATGATGATGATGATGAGGATGCTGATGATGATTGATGATGATGATGATGATGATGATGAGATGGTTTGTTGGTGGTGGTCGTGGAGGTGATGAGATGATAGGATGAATGATGATGATGATGATGATGATGATGATGATGGTGATGATGATGATGATGATGATGATGATGATGATGATGATGATGATGATGATGATGATGATGAGGAGGAGGAGGAGGAGGAGGAGGAGGAGGATGAGGAGAGGCATAGTGAGGATGACAACCAAGACCTTCAGGTTTAGGATCTTCAGAAAGAGGAAGATGGAAAGAGGATAGATGAGAGGAGGAGGGGGAGGAGAGGGAGGTGGAGGAGGAGGAGGAGGAGGAGGAGGAGGAGGAGGGAGGAGGGGTGGAGGAGGAGGAGGAGGGAGGAGGAGAGAGGGAGGAGGAGGGGAGGAGGAGGAGGAGGAGGAGGAGGAGGAGGAGGAGGAGGAGGAGGAGGAGGAGGAGGAGGACGGAGGAGGAGGAGGAGGTGGAGGAGGAGGAGGAGGAGGAGGAGGAGGAGGAGGAGGAGGAGGAGGAGGAGGAGGAGGAGGAGGAGGAGGAAGGAGAGAGGAGGAGGAGGAGGAGGAGAGGAGGCGGAGAGGAGGATGGAGGGGAGGAGGGGAGGAGGAGGAGGAGGAGGAGGAGGAGGAGGAGGAGGAGGAGGAGAGGAGGAGGAGGAGGGGAGGAGGAGGAGGTGGAGGAGGAGGAGGAGAGGAGGAGGAGGAGGAGGAGGTGGTGGAGGAGGAGGAGGGAGGAGGAGGTAGGAGGAGGCAGGGGAGGAAGGGGAGGAGGAGGAGGAGGAGGAGGAGGAGGAGGAGGAGGAGGAGGAGGAGGAGGAGGAGGAGGAGGAGGAGGAGGAGGAGGAGTTCGTAGCAATGTTGGCCCAACGGCAATTCCGTAGGCCCCCCTGTTCCTGGACCTTGTCTTTCGGCTTCGGCGTATCCCCATCCCGGAGGGGCGTGAGGGCCTTGGGGGGGGGTGGCAGGGCTTTTGGCTCACGCAGTGATGGCTGTGGGATCGGGCTCGGCGCTGCGAGGTGCTGCAGGGGCCCGAACGGCGGCGGACGGGCTGGTCACGCGGTTGCAGCGACAGCTACCGTCCGCCGATCGCGCCCACCGTACGAGGTCGGAGGCGGCCTTCCGCGCGCTCAGCGGCGACGACGGCGTCGCCGTGCGGGTGCGCCGCATTCTGCCCGCGCTCCAGGCGGCGGTCTCGGGCGTGATGCCGGCCTGGCTCCAGCGGTGGAGGCGCAGCGCCTGCCTCCACGCCGCGGCGTCGGGGGCGCGGGCGGCTGGGGCGAGCGAGCTCCGTGCCCCTCCGGCGCGGGCCACGGGTTTTGGCTGTGCGGCGGCGGAGGGCAGGGCGAGACCTTCGGGCGATGCTGCAGCTCGCGGCCACGTCCTGCGTCGTGAGGCTGCCGAGTTCAGCCCTGGGGCAGGCTGCTGGGTTCCGATCAGCGGGTACGCAGCCTCCGCGGGCCTCCGATGTCCGCGCGGCTCGGTGGCGTACTCTCCCGTGCCCATCGGCGAAACCTGCTTCGCCCAGTACCCTGTGCTGAAGGCCTGGAACTGGAGGCTCCGCGTGCCGTCGGCGCGCCAGAGCCTGATGCTGCAGGTGGCGGCGCCATGCATCCCTCCGCAGGGGCGCCCCCCCCCCCCCACACGGAGGACGGCTCTGAGGCTGCGCAGGCGGGCTCGACCGTTGCTCGGGACGAGAAGTCTTTCACGCGCAGGCGTCGCAACCTTTGACTCGGGGGGGCTCGTGGGGACCTCTTATGCCGTCGAGGACGCCTCGTGGGCCGTCTTCGGGCCAACTTGGGCGTCTTGGAGCGCTCGTTGGGCGTCCCAAACCCATTTCGAGGCCACCAGACGCGTCCCTACACGATTTTCACGTGTTTTTGCACGATGTTCGGGAGCGGATGGGACCTCCAGGGCCGTCCGGGGCCGTCCGGTCCCGCCCGGGGCCGTCCGGCCGGACCCCCCCCCCTCCAAATGGACCGGACCGGGCTCCCGGGGGAGGGGTTTGGGGAGGGGGAACATCTCACACGCCGATGAACCCCAAGGGGTCGGCGGATTCGAAAAACATCCCACGAGGTCGCATACAATCACATCCGAGAGGTGAACGACCAACTCCAATCTTGGAATTTGCAGGTCCGGGAGGAGAAGACTTTCTTGCGCATGCGTGACGCTTTGGACGACCTTCTCGGGCCACCCTCAGGTGATGTCAAATGCCCACAGCAGTAACATGTGTTGTCGGCCTATGTCTGGCTTTTCCTCTCGGCAAGTGGTGAGCGGTCTCATCTTTGTCTGGTTTGGCCCGATGTGGTAGTGCCGTGGAATGTCCTTATCGTGTGGCTTGGGATGTACGTGTCTGGCGATGTTCGACATCCGTAGTCTTCTGTTCTACCTCTCGTCCCGGTGTAAGTTTTCCACAGTGTTTAGCGAGCCCTGCGCATTCCTAGGCACGGGCGCGGGCCCCCCCCCCGCAGCGCCTCCTGCTTCCTTCTTCCTGCGCTCTTCTGTTCTACCGCTCGGTGGCTTTCTTGCTGTTTATTGTCCTTATCGTCCTGTGCCTCGTTTCGACTTGGCGAGCATGGTCTGGAAGGCTGCGGCGGCAGCCCTTCTGCTTTTCTTCTGATCGGCCGCATGTTTCGTATGAGGGATGGTGTGGTCGACGCCAAAGGACGCCGAAGGAGGAGGAGGAGGAGGAGGAGGAGAAAGGGAACAGGGAGATGGATGCTAGTGATGCTGATGGTGATGATGATGATATGTTGATGAGGATATAATAATGATCATGATGATGTTGTTGACGATGATGATGATGGTGGTGATGATGAGGAGGATGATGATGATGAGGATGATGATGATGCTGATGATGATGATGGCGATGATGATGATGATGATGCTGATGATGATGCTGATGATTATGATGATGATGATGATGATGATGATGATGATGTTGAGGATGAGGATGATGATGATGATGATGATGATGATGATGATGATGATGATGATGATGATGATGATGATGATGATGATGATGATGATGATGATGATGATGATGATGATGATGATGATGATGATGATGATGAGATGATGATGTTGATGATGTTGATGATGATGATGATGATGGGAATGAGGATGAGGAGGATGAGGACGAGGCGGAGGGAGGAGGAGGAGGAGAGGAGGAAGGAGGAGAAGGAGGAACATGTGGAGGAGGAGGAGGAGGGAGGAGGAGGAGGAGGAGGAGGAGGAGGAGGAGGAGGAGGAGGGAGGAGGAGGAGGAGGAGGAGGAGGAGGGGGGGAGGAGGAGGAGGGGGAGGAGGAGGAGGAGGAGGAGGAGGAGGAGGAGGAGGAGGAGGAGGAGGAGGAGGAGGAGGAGGAGGAGCTACGGCGAGGAGGACGGGGGCAGAGCAAACGAGCCGCCCGCTCGCGTCACTGCTGTCAACGGCGTTGCGCGCACCTGCTGGAGCTGGCCGCGCACGGCCGCGCGCGATCATCGTGCGCAGCCCAGCACGGCTCGACGTTGGCAGCAGTGCAGCGAGGACCGTGCGGGTGCATCTCGGCACTGGTGCCGGCACACTGCGTGCCTTCGAGATCCTGGCGCTGGCTTATTTTTCACACCGTGTGATTTCGCCCTGTTTCGGTCGCGGGGACCAGGTCCGTTCCGCTCGAGAAGTGTTGCAGAAAATGTGGTCTAGGGCTGTGGACATCCGCGACGATGGATCTCTGGGTCATCATCATCATCAGCATCATCATCATCATCACCACCCTCATCTCATCACCATCATCAGCAGCATCACCATCACCATTGAATCAGCATCACCATCACTGTCGTCATCACCATCACCACCATCATCATCGTCGTCGTCATTGGCATCGTCACCGTCATTTCATCTTCATTATCGTCATTGTCATTATAATCATAATTAACATCAGCATCGTCGTCATCATCGTTGTAGTTTTCAACTTCATCACCACCAGCATTACCGTCAGCCTTACAATCAAAAGCATCGTCATCACCATCATGATTACCATCATCATCACCATCATCATCATCATCATCATCATCATCATCATCGTCACCGTCATCGTCATCGTCATCGTCAGCCTCAGCGTCATCGTCATCGTCATCGTCATCGTCAGCGTCATCGTCATCGCCGCCGTCGTCACCATCATCAGCACCACCATCATAGTCAGAAGTCAGCCACCTCATCGTCGTCAACATGACCACCACTATTCATCAGCATCATCAATATTTTCGTCATTTTCATCGTCATCGTCGTCATCATCTCTGTCGTCGTCATCATCATCGTCATCATTATAATCACCACCATCATCTGCGTCATCAGCACCATCATCATCAGCATCATCAGCACCATCATCATCAGCATCATCATCAGCATCATTATCACCATCACCATCGCCATCGCCACCATCATCAGCATCATCATCATCAGCAGCATAATCATCATCATCATCGGCATCACCATCACCATCATCATCATCATCATCATCATCATCATCATCATCATCATCATCATCGTCATCGTCATCGTCATTGCCATCGTAATCGCTATCGCCGTCATCACCAGCTATACTTATCGTCGTACTCGTCACCATCCCCATCACCATTGTGGTCATCATCACCATCAGCATCGTCACCAGACTTGTCATCGTTGTCGTCATCAACAGCGTCACCGTAAACATAAACATCAGACTCATCGTTATCATCGTCGTCATCATTATCATGATCATGACCACATCACCATCACCATCATCATCACCATCTCCATCACCATCACCGTCACCATCGCCATCTCCATCCCCATCCCCTATCGCTGTCCCCGCCCCCATCCCGATCACCATTACCATCACCAGCACCACCATCACCATCACCATCACCATTACAATTCCCATCCCCATCCACATCCACATTCTCATCCCCATCCCCATCCCCATCCCCATTACCGTCACCACTGCCATCACCATCATCATCACAATCACCATCACCATCACCATCACCAGCACCATCACCAGCACCATCACCATCACCATCACCAACACCACTACCATTGTCATTGCCATCACCACTACCAAGATTACTACCATTATTTTCGTCCGCAGCATCGCCATCGACCGCCCTGTTGTCCTGCGACGAGGCGGCGATTCCACAGTCGCGCCTCCTCCGCCAGCTGCCGCTCCGACCCTGCCTCCCTCGTGAGTTAATGAGGGCGCCGCGGTGCGGGCTTCGCAGGAGGGCCCGTCCACAGGGGCCGCGGCACGGGCACCCTCGCCCCGACCTGCCTTGCCCCCCTCCTCCGCTCCCTCCTTCTCGCGTGTACGTTCTCCCCCTCTACCTCCCCCCCCACTCACCCTCCACCTCCCTCATTCTCGTGCTCCTCCTCCTCCTCCGCCTCCTCCTCCCCCTCCTCCTCTTCACCCTCCTCCTCCTCCTCCTCCTCCTGCTGAGTGCCGTGCTGAAGCGTAGACTTGGGGCATGCGCGCAGTGGAAGCTCGCGCAGAGGCTGAATCCCGCAAGGCGGCACGAGCAGCCGATCAGTCTCGATCGGATGCCGATCTTTAGGGAGGGGGTGCCATGTCGCGGGCCACGGGTGGGGCTGTCGTCCCTCACCCGTGTGCAAATAGGGTACCCCCGTTTCTCCTTTGATCGGCCCCCCCCTCGTTTTTCCCCCCTCTTTCTCGCCCCTTTCCCTTCCTGACCGGCCCCCCTCCCCCCCTTGTGGGCAGTGCGCGCGCGCCTCCTCCTCCTCCTCCTCCTCCTCCTCCTCCTCCTCCTCCTCCTCCTCCTCCATGGCGCGCCGCAGGCTCGCCGCTGGCCCTGGGGCCGCGTCCAGCAGCGCACCCGCTCCCGCGGCGGCAAAGGGGGGGGGGGGCGCGCTGGACAGGGCTGGGAGCGCCCTCGGGCTGACAGGGAGGGCCGGGGCTACGCAGAGGGGGAGTTATCGGGGCGCAAGAGACGGGAGTCAATGCCAACGGGGGTCAGCCAGATCGCGGTCTCCTGCAGGATCCTGCAGAGCCAGGGGCGCGTTGGCCCGGGTCAGCGCGCAGGATCTTGCAGGATC